TTTTTCACTTCTCCTTGACTCTGAAGGATGACGAGATGGAGGGAGGATAAAAAACGGCAAATAACACAAAGACGGGCAGAGATTTCAGAACTCTTCCTCTTCCTTTGGGTTCAGAAATTACAGACGGCAAGTTGTGAAGAAGAAAAGACAGATGGATGAAGCGGAGACGGGAGGTGAAGACGCAACAACAGCTCATTTGCATAAAGGCGGCGTCTTTTCCGCCTTCCCTCCAATCAGAGCGCGGGGTGAACCCCCTGATTGGTTGGGACGTGAAGGGCAAAGCGTCCGCCGGCGACACCTTGGTGAATTATTAACGAGAGCATCAGTCTATCCATCATCCTCCACTCAGCAGCCTCCAGATAACTGTATTAACAGCGATATGAGCGGACGCAGAAAGGAAAGACAAATCTGTCCTTCTGCTTTATCAGCGGCGTTTTAAACGAGCGCCACTGAACTGGGTGGTTTCACATTAAGAGCAACGATTTTATCAGCCAGACGTCTCTTTAGTGTATTTAAATGGGCTCGCAGCAAGGTTACAGCAGCTGCAGTCTGTCGCCGTGGGAACCAAACTTAAAGCTGCATCTCCAACGCCTCGTCTGCAAACCGACGCTCGGATCCTCAGAACTCATCCGGTCGGACTCACTGCGTTGCTGCAGCCGTCAGTTGTTTCCGTTATTAGTTCATCTGCTTCATTCTCCGTTAACTGATGTTAAAAAGCAGACAAATGTGGAAGAAGTGTTATCCTAAAACGAGCTGTTCTGTCCAAAGATCTTCAGCTTATATACAATAAAGCAGAAATATAAAAATAATGACGTCAATCACAGGATTTGCACTCGATGAACCAAACAGCTGAACTCATCCAGTCACTGCTGCAGCTCTAGCTTCAGTTCAAACGACAGTTAGCTTAAAAAACACGAACCACATAACACACCTCAGTCGGTGGTTAGTGATTACTGTGGTCAGTTCCAAACATTGTTGGTGTCTGGAGAGATTTCACTAGAGAAAGCATTTTAAATTCCTCTTTAATGCCATAAATCATATAAAAACAGCCGGAACCGTCATGTTTCCATCACTGGAGCTCATGTCGTCTCCTCATCCTGCAGATGTTGAACTATTTTCATGATCCAGACTTTTCCTCTCTGCTCTGCTCATCAGCTGTAGAAAGATGTTCCACCATCAGTAGAAAGATGTTCCACCATCAGTAGAAAGATGTTCCACCATCAGCTGTAGAAAGATGTTCCACCATCAGCTGAATGTATCTCCACCAACTGGCTCCTCTGGTTCTGATCCATGCTGCATCTTTTTATTGATCCAGTAGGTTGGGTTCTCCTCTCAGCCACAAATGTAGAATCAGGTGATTCTGTTAAATATCAGCGTTCAGGGAGCCACAGATGGGTAGTTCAAAGACTGCTGGAAAAGTAGAAAATCTAAATATTCGTTCTGCTTCAACAGTCCCTGCCTGATTGCCTCATTTTGGTGATTTTTTAAGAGGACAACATGTCTTTCAGAACCACCGCTCGGTAGAACAAAGTGATTTAAATGAATTCAGCTTAGATTTGCTGATTTTTCCTGATGGAACCGTCAGTGACTCACGATGTGTTCAAGGACTGTCTGACAGCTAAGACGCTGACTGTTGGTTCTGTTTTGACTCTTTCTGTATTCTTGGTGATTGTTTTCTAGTTGGTGAATGAATCTGACACGAGGCAAACATGGTACCGGCAGAACCGAGGCGCTGGAAGCCGCAGAGCTGTCGGTTCTCTCTGATCTTTCATGCACAGCTTCTCCTCTCGATACGTGTTTGTCTGAAGAAGTTGATGGAAGCAGTTTGCAGCTGCTTCGCTCTGAGGTCTGACTCATTTGTGAACTCGGGTTCGTGCTGAATGACTCTGGCGGCACTTTGTCACCGGCAGTTATTTGTTCAGTTTCGAGTCTCTTCAAATGTAAAGTCGATAAACGGCGGCAGAAATGCAAATAGAGGCGGTTTGTGCGGTATCATCGGCAGATTGGACGCCGTGTGTGCAGCTCTATTCTCCAGCCGAAGCCCCTCATCCTTCTGTTTTCATACCGACACACTGTGAATGTCAAAGAGCTGCATGAGGCCGGGCCTGCCACTCAAACGCCCGGAGTGTGCGCGGCGCTCGGTGTCTATGTGCGCGGCGCGACGCTGTGCGGCGTTGTGAGTCCGGCCGCTGCATTGTGAGCTGCCAGAGGATCTGTGTGAACAGTGATGTGTGACAGAGAGAGTGAGGGAGAGATTTGGAGCTCAGAGAGGAAGAGAATGAGCGATTGAGCTGCAGAGCGAGAGAATAAAACCGAGAGAGGCAGAGATTTGGAGCCCAGAGAGGCGAGAGGAAAAAGTGAAAGAGGGAGAAACAAAGAGGGCCGAGAGGAGCCGGAGAGGAGAGGGAGGCAGCGGCGGTGGATGGAGGCTGACAGACAGGCTGTGATCTGTGAGCGACTCGGCTGGATTTAGCGGATCAGACAGACACTAAACTCCTCTCTGTCTCTCTGCTGCTTTGTCGTTGCTTCTCTCTCTCTTCACTCTTTTGTCCTTCGCCTAATAACCTTCCCAGAGTGTGTGTCACATTCCTGCATTATCCACAGATTACTGCTCCACGCCGGGTGTGAGGCGTTCGGGGCCCGCCGTCCTGCAGGGTTACAGCAGTTACCTCCAGAGGGTTTCCTGCCCGGTGATTAGTGAGCAGGTAGCAGCTGATCCCTGGTTTCAGGTAGAACTCACTGTGCGTACACAACAACAGCGACATCAGTCCGTCTGACAGCTGGATGTGCTCAGAACACCTGCAGGACATTTACAGGTGTAGCTGACCCACCTGGTTCTGATGTCAGCGTCCAAGGCCTTGATTAGTCACAAACACAGTCACACACAGCGGATGTGTTGAGCAGCTGATCCAGACCGGAACCAGAAGAAGAAGAAGGAACAAAAACACACAAGAAAAAAGAAAAAAAAAGTATATATATATATATGAATGTTGACAGATAGAAACAAGCAAATCAGCGTCAATCAGCGTCAAGTCGTGCTACATGGTCGATATACAGGGTGAAAACTAAACAGTCTGTCTCTTAGATAGACGTCAGCAGCTTTTAAACAGATAAAAGCTTCTCAGGTTCAGAGTTACAGACTTTGGGTAAGAAAATTAAAATGATTCCTCAGAGTGGATCCTGTCTACAGATGGTTCTGGTAGGTTCTGGAGGTAAAACGGTCCTTCCATCGTCTGGAACTGGTTATGACCAACCACCATCACACATGCTGATATGAGCCTGGAAAGTTTACCCAGAATGCACTTTGTAAACTTTCCTCTGGTTAATGATCAGAACCAGAACCACATCCATGGTGCTAATGATTGTTTCTATGACTCTATGTCATAGACATTAAACTGGTACCACTATGAGACATCCCATAATACTGATGCTACCAGCTGCTGGCAGAGGACATGAACAGAACCAGGTCCAGTGTTCAGACTGAGACACCTGGATGGATGTAGACCTGATCTGGTGTCAGGTTCTACCAGAACCCAGATGTGTTCTTCCTCCTAAATGTCATGTGTCTATCTGCTGTACTGATGAAGTTCTGAGGCTCAGAAATGATGGAAAAAGTCCATTAAAGTGATCAATCTGGACCCTCCTCTGTGGAATTCAAGGACCTGGAACTCTGGAACATTCACAGTCTGAAGGTGGAACTCTGGTCAGTAGATAAAGGTTCTGCAGAACCAGAACCAGATGTTCTGAGGAGGTTCTGGAGGAGCTTTGGTCTGATGTGGTTGGTTTTACGTGAGATGATCCACCTGTCGGCTCGTTCATGTGTTTCAAGCTTTAGACACACCCAGCACACGCTGACAGATTAAACTCATCCAGTCGTCACCTGGAATTTATTGATAACCACAGAAATATATAATAATATTAATATTAATAATGATAATGTATAACAATAATAATCAATAATCTATAATAAATAATCTATGATAATGGCAGCTCCGTTCTGTCAGAATGAAACGTTTCTATCTGTTGGATTTTCAGGCTTTCTTTCAGACAAAGAATCGTGGTTTCAGTGAACACCATTAATCCACAACCTGAGACACACACACACACACACACACACCCTCACCGCGTGCTGCTTTAACACACCTGCACTCTGCTGTTTGTGTGTTTGCAGCCCTCTGATTGGTACAAACTCATGTGGGGAGTGTGTGTGTCATCAGCAGGGATTCAGGCTGATCCTGTCTGTCCTCAGAAAGACTGTGGAGAAACCTGCAGGACACACACAGCAACACACACACATACACACACACACACACACACACACACACACACACACACACACACCCAGCGAGTGGCTCTGTTTACTGAGTCCTGCTGGGATGTCTGGCGATGCAGAGGTGAGAGAAAATAGAGATTCTCTTGTTTGGCTTCGCCTCCTGCTTCCCTCCGTCTGCCTCCTCGCCTCTCGTCTTTGTGCCTCAGAAACAAGACGTCTCATCAGATGATCAGAACCGTCAGAGCCGCTCACAGAACGGACACGAACACAAACTCAGCTGGAGCAGCAGGACGCCAGAAACACGGCGAGGTTTAACCGTCGGAGGGCAGCTCCAGCGCTGACCTGAGATCAGACTGACTTTAGGTTCCCAACAAACCAGGTCTGATGGTGAGAAGAAGTCGTCACAGCTGCTGAGTTCAGGTCCAGACGTTCATGTTCCACGTGTTCATGTTCAGAACGTCGTGAAGGCAGATCAGACCTCTACAGATCTATAGTCCTTCTGGTGGTCCTGCTGCTCAGCTGGTCGGGTCTCAGACCTCCTTCAGTCTCTGAAAACTTCAAGGAATGAAACCATGACGGTTGTTTCTGTCTAACATTAAACTCAGTTTCTCAGCATCACGGTTCTGATGGTTCTGATGGTTCTGATGTTTCTCCTCCACACGTCTGAACATGAATCTCTGCTGGAAGAACGCAGACCAAGTGTGGTTTTCCCTGACGTGGTACAGAGATGGGCAGGTGGTACACGTCAGGAGATGGAGGAGGTCCAGGTGGAACACAGGAAGAGCTTCATGGAGAAGGAGAGAAATGGTTCTGGATGTGGTCAGAGTTCTGTTGTTTGGTCCAAAGTTCTGTTGTTTGTGGTCTGCTGTCGACCGATCGGTTAGTTTCAGGGAAGAAGAAACTGGAGCAGATTTTTATCATCTGTTTGGTCAAAGCTGAAGAAGTTTTGTTAGTTCTCCTGAAGATGTTCAGTTTTCCATCAGATAGGTCCTCCTCCTTCCTCCTTCCTCCTCCTCCTCCTCTCTCCTCCTTATTCCTCCTTCCTCCGTCCTCCTCCCTCCCCCTCCTCCTTATTCCTCCTTCCTCCTCCTCCTCCTCCTCCTACTCCTACTCCTACTCCTCCTCCTCCTTCCTGCTCCTCCTCTACTTTCCTCCTCCTCTGTCCTCCTCCTCCTTCCTTCCTTCTCCTTCTCCTTCCTCCTCCTCCTCCTCCCTCCGTCCTCCTCCTCCTGCTCCTCCTCTCTCCCCTGGATGTGAAGCTAACCTTTGGCCCAGACATGAGGAGCGCTTGATTCGTCTCATCTGGGCGGTGCCATGCCCACTCAGGGCCTGTTTAGGAGCCTCCAGGACCAGACGCAGCAGCTCGGCTCGTCCAGAACCTCCTGACTGCCAGAACAGACAGAATCTGTGCTGAAGTCACAGATTTAACCTGACGGAGGCCGAATCTGGAGCTCTTCAGATTCATCTGAAATTAGCCTCCTTTTGTTGCAGCGGAGGGAGGTCCAAAGGTACTGAGACGAATCAGCCGTATTGTCAGCCGGACCGCTGACGGCTCGTCCTGCATTCAGGAGCTTTTGCTGTGAGCTGCAGGAGGGAACGTCAGCAGCATCCAAACATAGAGAGAGTTCGAGTACCAGTTACACTTGAAACCGGTTCTGCTCGTGTGGCTTCAGCAGCTTCTGATTCATCTGATGGTCACAACAGATTATAAATGAACCCGTCGTCCTGCAGTTTTCTCCCAAAGGCTTCAGGTTTGTGCCGATCAGGAACGTCTTCGGGTCAGCGACCAGCAGAACAAACGTCATGTCGATGTTTCAGCGTCACTGAGGCGACGTTTCACCAGAAGACCCAGAATCAGCTGTTTATAAACGATTAGAACCAGCACCAATGTTCTGGATTCCTCTGACAGACGCTGCTGCTGCTGCACACAGACTGTCAGACGGGATGTTGTGTGTTCACGTTGTGGTTCTGTTAGTCTGTGGTTCTGTTGCTTCAGGAGCTGGAGGCTGAACACGTTTGTTTGTTTCCTCCTTGTTGTTGTTGATCGCAGCTCGAAACACGTCGGACGACGTTCGTGTTTCTGGACGGGTTTCTGTCGTCGGTTCTGATCTCGTCGTCTTCCTCCAGTTTAGCGGATCAGGACCAAGCAGCAGGTTTGAGGAGCTGCTACTCTGCCCTTCAGAGGTTCTGGAGTCGGTTCTGACAGTCTGATTGATGCAGTCAGATGGTTGTTGCGACCCGATGAGACGTCAGAAGTTTGTTTACGATCATTTAATCTGAATGAAGACGTTTTCGAAAGCAGTAGCTGGACCTGAATCCAGAGATCCGGTCACATCGTCAGGGTTCATCTGTTCTCTGAGTCTGGACGCTTTCACAGGTTCAGCTTCAATTTGGAAAAGCACTGGTTGCTATGGTGACCTGAACCAGCTGAGAGCTGATTGGTCAGGACGGTGATGCAGTAAAACAAACAACAACCTGCAACACTTGTGTTTTATTTCTGTGTTCAGTGTTCTGCCCTACGACCCAGAATCAGACTCATCAGACCTGAAACGGACTCTGAGTGTAAAGAGACGGAGGTCCGACACGAACGGACCCGATCCAGCAGGAAGTCCGTTTAAAACATGGTTAAAGCAGTTTGGTTGGTTCTGTGTAAACTGGTGATGTCGGTGAGTCTCTGCTGTCTGTTGTCTCTGAGTTGCCATGACAACGGCTGGCCCACCGTCAGGTCTGAGGTCCAGTTCAGCAGCAGATCACCAGTAGATGTTTGTGGTGAAGAGACCTCCTGTGAAGGTGTTCAGAGAGCTGCAGCAGAGGAAATGAAAGCAGCAGCTGAGTGAGGAGCAGCTCTTTGTGCTTCATGCTCAGATTTATTGCACTCGAGTGTTTGTGCATAATTGCACATGTGCAGAAGCACCTGAGTGCTTCTACCTGTAAATGTCAGGCGGCTGACGGCTCAGGAATCAGCAGTAAATCAGAGCGCCGCTCGGCTAAAGAGGCGATTAATAAACATGTCAGCTGTGTTTGTGTGTGCGGGTCACTTCCTGTTCAGCTGATCAGCTGCAGGACGGAGGAGGAGGAGGTGCAGGAGCGGTGATTTACAGCGACAGCAGAGGGAAGAGCTGCTCGTGTCTCTGTGTCTCATCCCTCTGCAGCCGATCAGGTCTTCTGTCCGTCAGCGGCGATACGACGGCGTCCTGAGAGCGTCCAGCAGCAGGAGGCGCCGGCTTCGCCCTTCATCACACTTAGGCTGCGACCGCTCGCTCTCTAATGGAACTCCATCCATTCCACATGACAGAATCCATTACGGCCGCGTGCAGCGCAAGTGTTGCATGCGCTGGATTTATTCCTGTTATTTGCTGATAATGTGTGCAAACTAAAGCGAGCCACATCTTTTCTCTCTGCTGATGATTAACTGGAGGAGGTGCAGGAAACACAGACGAGTGTGTTTAAAGCAGCCGGATGATGATGATGATGATGATGATGATGTCAGGCTGCAGCTCGTGTTTCTGTTGGAGCTGGTTCACATTAAAGGTCAGAAACACCTGAGACTGTTCACAACTAAACGTGGAATAAAACTAATGCAGGAACAGAAACGTCCTCCGACATGCTGCTGCCGGGTCTCTTCTCCTGAGCAGCTCCTGGTTCTGAGGTTCATGTCAAAGTCCTGCAGCTCTGAGGAACCAGAACCAGAAGGAGGAGAGAGAACCCAGAGACGTCTTCAGTCAGCAGGACTCAGTCAGAACCATGTCTTCAGTGTTTCTGCTTCGCGTCTTCTCCCGTCTGCTGAAAGGAAAACGCTCATCGCCACAGCTGAGCCACTCAGAACTCAGCGCCGGGTCAGAGCAGAACCTTCAGCCTGTTACAGAATCAAACATTTATTTTTGGCCAAATTTTAAACGAGACACGTAGAATAAAGAGATTTTAAGGAAACATTTGATTCTTTAAAGGATCATCAAAAAGTTCAAAACGTTTGTTTTTACAGTTTCTGGCTCATAAATGGTAAAACGTTTAGAGAACGTTTCTCCGTTTTGTTGTTCTTGTCTCGTTCATAAACATTCATGTATTTATTGACGGTGCAGGACTCGATCAGGTACGAAGGTTTGTCTCACGTCACATCCGTTAGACAATCATTTTAGAAGACCTGTTTGATTTTAGAAACGTTTTTACTCTTTAATCAGGCAGAGGTTTTTATACAATACTGAGCTAATCGATGGCTGCAGCCAAACTCTCCTGTTTCCTGTTTAAATACATGAACCAATCACAGCAAGCAGGTAGACGACAGGTAGACGACAGGTAGACATCCTGTCCTGTTGTCAGTCTGAGAAGAGTGTGTTGTTGCTGTGTGGCTGTGTGAGTGGCAGCTGCTGGGAGGCATACGTGTGTGTGTGTGTGTGCGTGCTGGACTTCTACCTGCGTGAGGACCATTGCTGTTCTCATCGCGGTGCTGATCTTTGGTTTCTCCTCCCAGAACATTAATCATCGAACTCAGCTGATGGCAGAACAACACTTCACTTTATTTACTTTATTGACTTTATTTCATTCACCAGATGCCAACATGTGGCTCAAACAGAGAAACATGAATCCAGGTGAAGCTTCTGAACCGTCTGAGTTGGTTGAAGGTAGGAATCTGTTGATCATGAAAGCTGCAGGACTTTAGCCGACGTCAGACGTGAACCTGAGTCTGTAACAGGAGTCGTGTTGAATCATCACGTCTCACATGTCGGTGGTTCCTCGTATCATTAATGAAGTTAAAACTAAACATGTCGTGACCTCTGATTCCTGGATGAGATCTGGATCCTAAAACCTCCTAAAGAGCGTCCAGAAGAACCTCCAGCTCTGATGTTTCTGACTGATTTGAATCCCTCTGTCACGCTGTAACTTCTACAAGGCTTCAGTCTCTTTTTGTTGTCTGTTTGTGTATTTTATCTGTAGTTGGATCTACTTTGAACCCTTTCTTGTCCTGCTCTCGTCTCGTTTAGCTGCTCTGTTATTTTCTGGTGATGGAGGGCGAAGCTCTTTGTGTTGCAGTTTGTTTACATGAATGTGGAAAAAAACACAAATATAGTCACATCAATACGTTTCTATACACTCTGATTGAGTCATAAAATGTTCCCTTCCTGTATATATAATATTTTAAAAAATAACATTCTAGTCACATGAAACACACTCCGCTTATAGTGAAGGATGTACTAACATAGTTTCTTATTTTTAAAAACTGTTTTCTAAGTGTTCCTAATTTTTCAGACACGTTCTGACGCGATGTTCTAAAAGCTGAGCGCTGCTTCCACCTCATGATGTGACGTTTCACACATGTGAAGCTTGACTTGTGTTGTTTAATGCTGTTCAAATTAAAGATGTTTGGGAGTGAACGAAACATCGCTGCTGCTGCACCAGAAACATTAGTCTAATGAACTAAACATTCATGTTTATTCGTGTAAAACTCTGATTTAAAATAATGTATGAAACCCAGAAGTTTCATCTAAATTGATAAATCAGAATGTGAACCTTTTATCCATCATTTCCTGGAGTGGCAGAAGCAGCTCGTGTGTCCTGGATCAGTTTTCAGAGGCGGCAGCAAAACGACTTCATCAACATTTTTACTTTCATTTTCCAAAATGCTGCAACTTTCCAAGAGAATAATTGTTTTTCTGAAAAGTCCTGATTCTTTAAATTGCTAATTCAAAATTTTTCAAAAACATTTTCAACTTAATTTTCTTTTCTTTGCTCAAACCGTCGTTCTTTTGTTTCACCGTCATGCATTAAAGCACCAGCTGGTCCTCACAATGATAGAAGATCAGAGCGCTGCGTTCACAGTCGCTCTGAGACTCTGTCGAGTTCCTGAAGGATTTAGTTTCTCCGTCAGCTTTAGTGCAGCACCGAGGCACGACTGAGCGACTAAACCTGCAGCGAGGCATCCGCGAGGTGTGTGTGTGTGTGTGTGTGTGTGTGTGTGTGTGTGTGTTATGAGTGTGTGTCATATGTGTGTGTTTGTGTCCCAGTGGTTCAGATGTGACCTGGAAGTGTTTGAACACTCTCATAACAAACGGAGGCTTACAGCCAGTAAACACCGTGTTACTGTGTGTGTGTGTGTGTGTGTGTGTGTGTGTGTGTGTGTGTGTGTGTGTGTGTGTGTGTGGGGCGTCGTCGCTGCTAAACTGACACATTTTCAATCACATGGTTTATTCGGGGGAAATTGTGGAAAAAGCGGGAAAAGGGCAGATTTCTGCGGCTCTGTGGGCCACAATAGGACAAGCCAGGATTAGTTTTTTCACTTTGTGCGTGTGTGCGACGCACGAGTGTGTGTGTGTCTGCAGACAATGCCCTGGTAGCCAATTTGTAATATATAGTCGGCCTTGAAAAATGGCCCAGATCTCCCCTTCGCTGTCTGCAATTTAGCTCTGCCGGCGCCCGGCAATACCCATTGTACTGCCTCCACCACTGCCATTTGGGCCTGATGGAGTGTGTGTTTGTGTCCACGTGTGTGTGTGTGTGTGTTTGTTTACTTGCTTATGTGCATCTCAGTGTGCGTTTACCCACGAGTCCGTCTTTGTGTGTCTGTGTGCGAGCCGGCGACTGTGTTTATACTCAGGTTATTGAATTTCTGCTGGTGTGTGTCAGATTATGCCGGAGTGTGTGTGTGTGTGTGTATGTGTGTGTGTGTGTTGCTGCTGAAGAAGTCGTGCGGTTTATTTAACGTGCGTAGAGTTGGTTTTGTGTGTTTGATGCAGTGCAGTTACTCGTCCACTTTCCAAAATGACAGCGAGACACCTGAAGGCAACAATCTGGAACTAATGGACAGAAAAGAGACGTGGAGGGAAGAGAGAGACGGACGGACCGATGGAGGGGACGCAGGGAGGAGGAGAGGAACAGGAGAGACAGATGGAGGAAAACCAGTTATCGAACAAAAAGGGTGAAAGAGAGATTTAAAGAAGAGAGAAAGACTTAAAAACATGAGCGGTGGGTTAAAGGACAGACAGTCAGAGGAGGGAGAGAATAAACCAGATGTTACCAGATGGAGAAGTTCAACCCTCTGGACGGTTTAAGACTCAGCTAAGAAACTAAAAACAGGAAAATAAAAATCAGCAGGTTTCCAAACAGTCCTTAAACTGATATCGTATAAACACGCAGGAATCAGGAAAATTCACTAAACCTGAGCTTAAAATCTTCACGTTTCTTCACAGTCGCTCGACACGTTTCATTAGATATTAAACCTGTTCTCCGTCGTCACGTCTCGGCTTGACCGACTCGGGTGTTTTCAGGTGACCTGCAGGCAGGGCTCACACGTTGAGTCACAGGTTTTACAAAAACAAATCAAACCAAAGTTTCCCTGTTTCTCTGGTTTCCATCATTCTGACTGAGTCCTGCTGACAGAAGACGTCTCTGAGTTCTGTCTCCTCCTCCTTCATGTTCTGGTTCTTCAGAGCTGCAGGACTTTAACATGAACCTCAGTAAAGGAACTGGAGACAGGAGCTGCTGCTGGAGGATCGAGGCGATGTTTGTTAGAACCAGTTGAAGTTTGATACCAGAGAGGACAGAGTGTGAGAGGGGGGATCTCGTATCTGGAGGTTTCTGGAGGTTTCTGGTGGTTTCACATCAGAGGAAACGGCTACTTGTTGCATTTGTGGAACTGAACGATGGCATTTCTGATTCTGAGTCGTTCCCTCCAGACGTTTAGCCATGGAGAAGGTTTGTCTGTGTGTCGTCTGCGTAGAAAAACAACATTCATTCATGATGTTTGAGGATTTGACTGAGTGGAAGCAGACAGAGAAAATAACCAAGGACCCAACATGGAGCCTTGTGGTACACCTCGGTTGATGTCAAGTCATAGAGGAGGCAGCTCGTCCTCCACAACGCTGTGCAGCATCTCAGCTACATTCTGAGATAAACCCATTTTAGGTCATGTTTCTTATTAACGTGTCTTTTCGTTTAACGTGTGTCTCACATGCAACAGCATCTAAACCGGACCGTGTAGTTCTGGTGTCTGAACTGAAGCACACATTTCCACCAAACCACAGGTCACAACACAGAATGACAGTTTGACGGTGAGACAGTTTAATTGTTGTAACTCTGGAGAAACGTACCAGTCGTGGACTCACAGGTTCTTTACTAAAAGTAGGAATGAGACAAAGTGCAGAAGATGCGACAACAGAAGCTAAGAGAGCTGCAGCTGTGTGTCGCTGGTTGTGTTGCAGCGGTTATTTCCTGCTTCATTATTCTTAATAGGAGGAGGATTCGTTCCTTGACTCTGCATCACAGAAGAGTCCATGCTGGAGGTTGAGGAGCTCCTCAGACCTGCTCGCTGTCTGACGGACGGCTGATGTATTAATTTAGTGTCTTAAAGCTGCTGCTGAATCGTAACGTGACCTCGGAGAGAGCTGAGCGGCTGCTCTTCCTTCTTGTCTCGTCTTGTTTTTTCCTCCCAGCAGCAGCAGCAGCAGCAGCAGCAGCAGCGATATGTTTCATGCATCAAGAGATCAAATCTAAAAGTAATACAATCTCTGGACTTACATCTGGCTGCTTTAATTTGAAACCGCCTCGGTGTGGCTTTAAAGTGAAATAAGTTATGCCGGCGCTGCCCTCTCTGCACCCTCTGACAGGAACAATAGCGGCCGGCTCGCCTCACAAAACTGTGTTCTACAATAATACTCGTCCACAAAGCGGGAGCGACAATGTCAGTGGTTTTATGGAGCTACACGGTGCAGCTAATGTTCTGCTGCAGCAGCGTCGCTTCGCTGCCTCCTCCTTTATTCTGCCTCGCTCCCTCTCTCCGTATGAAAAATCCATTCCGGCATGAGTTTTGACAGCCTGTCTTTGGTGGGTGTGTAAAATTCAAATAATTCACTGTGCTCAGACAGTCACTTTGGGGCTGCTTTGTATTTCGTATTTGACTCGGTGTCACTTCGGCTGCCTGTCGAGTCCCAGTCGGCAGCGTTTAGCTTTTCAAAAAAGAAAGAGAACTACCTCCAAACTGGAGCTTTATTTATTTGGTGAATATTTCAGGAGGTGGCAGCGACATCTTTTACCAGCCGACGAGAGGTTTTATTCAGTTTTACTCCTCAACAAGGACAAAGGAATTAAATTGTTGGGTTTCATTTACTTGAGTGTGTTTAAGATGCTGAGTTTATGCAGAGATTTTATCTTTTATCATCACTTTACTGTTTGTTTTCCCTTCATACAGCTCAAAGCTTCTTTTTCCATCTTTATGGAAACTGTCTGATGTTTACTGAGCGACTCCTACCAGGCGACGGACCGCCTGGTTTGATCCGGTGCTTCTATTAACGACATACCTGCACATTATGAAGGGAAGCAGTGACTCAAAGGCCAGACCTCCGTGTGTTTACTGACAAACCATCTTCACCACTTTAGGTTTTGTTTTGTTTGAATGCTGTAAGCCTGAATATTTGCGACTTGGAGATAAAAAAAAATAAACAAAAATGTATCAGTCAGACGCTAAAATCAGAAGAATGGTCAGATCTTCAGCCTCCTGATGGACCTGTCAGGTGTGATGTCACGTTGGAATAAATCAACAAACCGCCCCTTAAAAAAACAGCTTAATTCTACATGTACCTTTAAAACAATGTCAGATCCTGTAGAACCAGAACCTTCCTGCTCCTGGTTCTGATCCAGTAGAACCATAACATTCCTGGTTGACACGTTCCTTCTCCGTCCTTTGTTCTTCCACTGAGTCAGAGCTGTCCGTCGGTTTCGGTGTCCACATGAACCTTCTCCAAATTTTCATCCACTGATGTCTCAGGAAGATGTTCTGCTGCTAACATGACGTTCTGCTCTGATTGGTTTGACTTTGATCTCTGTTGTCCTGCTTCTGTCTCACTATCCTTCATGTCTTCTTCTGAGTTTTCTCCTTCTCATTCCTCTTCTTCTCCTCCTCCTCTTCTTCTTCTACTTCTGTCTTCTCCATCTCCATCTTCTTCTCCTTCTTCTTCTTCTTCTTCTTCTTCTTCATCACCTCCTCCTCCTTCTCCTCTTCTTCATCATCTTCATCCTCTTCATCTTCATCTCCTCCTCCCCCTCCTGCTCCTGCTTCTCCTCTTCCGGCCCTCGTTAAAGAACCTCTCCACGTTGTGTTTGTGTGTTCCACAGTGACCCCTACTGGGAGCGGCCGGCCAATGCAGGCAGCTGCTCCGCCGCTCGGCCCAAGACGCTTCACCTGGCCGGCCAGCAGCACACCTCATCACCATGGTAACGTTGGTAGCTGTAGCAGTAGAACCGTAGTCGTGGTCGCAGTGTGTGTTTGTGCTGATGAGTGGATGATGCTGATGTTCTGAACCCGGTTCTGCTCTGCTGGGATCAGACCAGGTCCGGTTCACCTTGATGACTCGCTGAACATCTCAGCTCCTGGATGTCAGCAGAACCAAAACAATTGACAATAATCTCAGATGGTTCCATGTTGAGAAGGTGAACACGTGAATCTAGCAGAAAATAGAAGCTGAAAAAGTTTGTTTGTTCTCCTGCAGGTTTGTTCAGTTTCCACGTGGTTTTGTTGGACATTAAAGGTCTGACGGGTCGGAACTAGAATCAGAACAATCTTGTTCGGATGGGTCAGTCAGCTCAGGTTCTTCTCATGTTCTAAGTTTGTAGCAGACGGAACCCTTCGACTATATAAATGATTAACCCTGTATCAGGCCAGAAGCCATATATGGCCACTTCCTGTAAGAAAGAACAGAATCACGTGACTTCATCTGGCCAATCAGAGGTCAGCTGAGCTTCTACACTCAAAACAGTTTAAATCAGGTGAACTTTGAGTTTACTGACAAAGTTTAAAACAAGACTTCAGTATCTTGGAAACAGGTTTTTACATCCCAGTGAACAGGTCAGGTGTGTTAGCAGTCAGGTGTGTTAGCAGTCAGGTGTGTTAGTAGTCAGGTGTGTTAG